TATATATATATATTATACTCCAAATATAATAATTTTAATTGTTTTTATTGATTTTTTCCATCAGTATGTTTAATGGAATACAATGTAAATGAGATCATTAGGACTGATCCATTTGCTAATAACACCGACTGCTTCTACCGCACCATCACCAATGCTGACAAATGTGTTGGTATTGGTATCAATAATTTAAAATTAGCCGACCCAGATGATGATGGAAACTGCACTACAGACTACTTACAGGTATGATCTGTTTGTAAACATACACACACGATTCTTCACACAATACACAAATTTCAATATGAGAATCAGGGATTGGAGTTGTTGTGTTTGTGAGAAAGCATTGGAAGACAAGCACCAAGCTATTGAACTCAGGCTATGTTCTCACACGGCAGCTAACGGTTAGCAGGATTCGGATCCTGCTAACCGTTAGCTGCCGTGCGTCCATACGAGAAAATCCCGATCCGGATACCAACAATTATGATGATCGAATCACTGGCCAATAAGAAACTGGAAATTGTAAACACGTACATGTGATTGGTTGATGATAGAAACGCCCTCAACTTGCTAACCGATAGCGCTTGCTAACCGTTAGCGTTCTCAGGCAGGTGCTAATGGTTAGCGCTAACGGTTAGCTCCCGATCCGTATACTAGGGCTCTCTTGAGAACCAGGCTATTATGTAACTCATGTTTATTCTTGATATCTTTGCAGATTAGAGACCTGAACAACACAGAATTCTCCTTTATCTATTGTGGTGGTATCTCGAGTTTTCAGCTTACATTATCCAGTAGCAATTACGTTGAGGTCCTTATTCATGTGGAAGATGGAAATGGCAAAGAAGCTAATTTTATCTTTCTTGAATTAGACTGTGGAACATATGAACAATCCATTACGGACTTTGGAGAAGTAAGTTCTAAATTATTGTCCTTCATAATTGCATTTGGAAAGTTAAAGCTTGTTTGAAGGTTTGCATGGTGATGTAATACTATACTTGCAGTAGGTAATTCTGAAAAGAACTGTTGTTTCTTATGTTATTCTCCTGATGACAATTGAAGCAACGCAATCGAAATGTCGAGACATTCTCAACAAAAACAACAGTTCTCTGCAGAACTGTGTATGTGACTGCAAGAATTTATTATAAAATTAAAGGACAGTGCTTGTAATTTGGGTGCTCAGGGCCATCCACTTGTACCATTGGCCAACACAATACAATATTGATTGGAGAACACTTTTATAAAAGTGGCACACATTAGAGAATAACGAATGTTGCATGAAAAGTTTGCAAACAAACCATATATGATATAACAAAACAAAGATATAAAATGAAAATGTTAACTAACAAGCACAATATCCTAGATGTAAACACTTACGCTAGCGATGAATACTTACGCTAGTGTTACATTAATCGGCCAGTCTCTCTCTCTCGCTAGTTATGCCATGGATTAACGTACGCCCGGGTTAAAATACGTCTGGCATATCTCTCAGGTCTGAAAAAAGTTTTCTCTGTTGAAGGGAAATTTTAAATGATCATAAAGTTGTTCTTGTTATTTAGTGCTCTAAGACTTGCGATGGTGGTGGTGAACGTACTCGTGAGGTAGAATGCTTGAATACAGAGGATGACACTGTTGTAAATGATTTCTATTGCTACGACCTTGAACAAATTGATGAAACGGTGTCCTGTGGCGATGATCCATGCCCAGGTAAATACGTAAATGTTCATAACACTGATGGTGATTGAAAGTTCTTAGACTTGAAAGACAATAAGTATTTCCTATAAAGGAGCATTACAAGGCAACAACCTCATTGCGCTGGCATCTCTGCAATTAAGCTTAATCTAAACCATATGAGGGTTGCCATTCCAAAACCAGCGTACAGTTATTAATTTTTGAACTGAGTAATTAGCATAAGGATGTGGCAGCATTGTATACTTTAGTACAGAGAAGCTGTAATACTTTTACTCTTTACTTTTAACTTTGGCAACAGTAAGTCAATTCCAGTAAATTACCCATCGTTTTAAAGCTAACAATAAGGATAATAAGAATATATTAAAAAGTCAGTTTTCATTTTTGGTCACTGATGCTGTTTTTGGATCGCAGGCATCTTATTAAATCAATTCAAATGATTGGTTCACCTTATTTTTTCACTTTAAACTTTTTTTCTCACACCTATTATATGTTAAATATTTCGTAAATTGTGTTTGTATTTAAGTTATGTCCCAGGGAGGAACATCCTTTTTGATCTGAGCTTCTGCGGTATTAAAATAAAGCTGAGTTGAAGCTTCAAAAATACATGAATTGGTCAGAGCTTGTATATATTTCTTTTTCTGATATACTACAGCTATAGAATATTTTCAACATCGTATCAAATTGTGGACTAATTACTAGACATTCTTTTTTTACAGTATGTGGTGGTGATGTGATAACGGCTGAATCAGGGGTGCTTACTGCTGATAATGACTGTGCCTATATCTTGAACACTGAACCAGACTGCGCTCTCATCACCATTGATGAGTTTGATGTCCCAGATGGTACTCCTGGAAATTGTGAGGATTATCTGAGTGTAAGTTGTGTCATATTCATTGTATTTGTTTAATTCGTATTGATTTTCATCAATATGTTGCTTTATTGTACTGTATAGCTACATTCCACAAGCAAAGCAAATATCGACTTTGTATATTTGAATTAGTATTTTTGAATACAATAAATTTTAAAGCCAGTGGTGAGTCATCTCTTTCATTTGCACTGAATTTTTACCTATCCCTGACTGATATAGTGCCTTCATCAACCACAATCAATTTCATCTTCTTCATATCGCCAAGAGCTGCAGTGGAGAGCTGCGCGAAGAGTGTCAGTGTGTGAACTACTAAACAAATCATTCTAATATGCATAGCTACTGCACATGCACAGTTAATGTATTGGTCACTGAGCAACCTGGTGTTTAATTATATATATCATTGCCTTCAGCCCTGGGGCTTCAGGCAATTTTTTTCTGGAATTAATGGCTCCATTCAACTTCTATTTCCTATAATATAATCAACCTGACTATAATTGCTTAATATAAGTAATTTAGTTATGTAGCATGGGTATTTAAATGAACACTGTGTGCACTGAAAACCACTGTGGTTGAGTTCTGTGCATTCTGTCATTATCAGACCCATGTCTCGCCACATGAACTGGGCTTTTTTCTTGGTACTTTATTGCTTTTTTCTTACAATCTGATGATGTTTTGCTGTTTTTAATTAAAAATTTTTAAATAATACATTATATTTTTTCCCCCTAATTATAATTATTTTAAGAATTTATAAAAAAAAATTTACAGTATTTGTTATATAAAGAGTCTTTGTGTGTTTTTGATGTAATTGATATTTTTCATTCAGGGTGTTTCCTAAGTTTAGACCTTGAGTCTGTGGATCCCATCATTTTGCTTCTGTTTTCTTGTTTTTCATTTTGCTCTAATGTGATGTTCTTTTTTTGATGAGATGTAATAAAATGAATTAAACAAAAAACGCATTCTACTACCTTGAAAAATACATGTCCTTATAGACATGATACCATGTAAATTTACTAAATTTTTACTAAATTAAATTACAGTAATTCTGTATATCATTTTTGTTAGAATAAATGTTTTCAAGACTTGTATCTTCCTCAGGGTTTCTTGATGTTAAGCTTGTGTTCATGACACTGTTCATATTGATTATGAATACTAAATTTTTTAAATTTTGTTTTTATTAGTTGTTTGGAGGTGTAGGTGTAACATATGACCTTTGTGCAGACAACCTGACCAATGTTCAGTTTGCTGCAAACATCGCTATTACAACTGTCTCGTTTTCCACTGATGGTGACAATGTAATTGGATCAGGGTACTCTCTTCGATTTGAGCGACAGCCATGCCCACAGTATGAATTTACCGTCGGTGAATATGGAAATGTGAGTTTTTTAATATTTTAATTGAAGTGATTTAACTAGTTATTTGTCCATCAGTTTGACTGAAAAACTAAATTATTTTCGAAATCAAATGAATTTACTAAGAAATGATCCCTAGTTTGGATAAAAATAAGCTTATGTCATGATTTACCAGTTCAATTATTGTGTATGCCTGCAACCTATACCTCAGTGCCGTTGTGTGCAATTTAGGAATTGCATACGTTTAGCTTCTATATAAAAGGTTGAAAGATATCATGGCAAATTTTCATCCTATTTCTGTATAACCTATATTGTAAGGTTCTTAAAAATTAATGAATGTTTTAATAACTGATTTTTTTGAAAAATTCAAGATATTCTATAAGCTTTATTTAAATGTATATAGCACAAATTTATCCTTAAAATTAACATTATTATTAATACTTTTTATTTCCATGTGATAAAACAAAGGCTGCCCTTGGTATCTTTGTTGATTTTAGAATAAGTGTTAAATACTATCATGACATTGTATGTCCAAGTTTCAACATTAAGGCATAAGACTTGCACCGTAACTTCAACTTTTCTTCAAGTTCTAGTAGGTCTCAGTTTGTTCTATAATGGGTGGGTATCCAGTAATTTGCTATTGACCATGTTGTTATAAGTGCTTGGAGTAATTTGATTTATACTTTACCAAATCCAACAGGTTTAAAAAAATGTTTAGATTGTTTGATGATGATATCAATTTATTTAAATCCTTTCCCAGAAATTTGATTTATCTCAAAAAGGTCAATTTGCTTTTCCAAAAGTAACTGAATGATTTAAAATAAATATGTTAATAATAAATGATGATAAAACTAATTATATCTAATTATTTCATTTTTCAGTGTTCTGTTGAATGCGAAGGTGGTGTGAGGACAAGAATCGTGGAGTGTAGGGATAATGATGGTGATGTTGTAGGAGATAATAACTGTGTCGGTATCAAGCCAAAAACAGAGGAAGAATGCAACAACGATCCTTGCAGTCAGGCCTTCTATGAATATGTTGCCGGCAATTATGGAGATGTAATACATTTCTTTTATCTATCTTTTGTCATCTTGTAAAGATTAACTACTCTCTTTCTTTTAGCCAGTATCTGGTCTATTGTTGTTGAATGTTCATTTTTGCATAAAACAAAATAACATCAGTATTTACATGGGTGTTGCAATCACAATCGGCGATCTTTTTCAAGTGACTGTGTTTGTTACTTTAGTCTGGTTCGTCGACATCATCATGTTGTCAACTTTTTTTTTAATCCAAATGGATTTACGGATTTTTCTCTGTTGCCAAAATTGCTCCTTCCCCAGTATTTTTCGCATCCCAGTTTGGTGTATGATTGTAAAGCGTGGCGTGATAAACATTTTCAGATTTTTGTTGGGTTAAGATGTGGAAGATAGTTGGGCCCTGGTTTTTACTCCCCATGTGTGTTTTGTGTCCTTGTTCTTAGTGGCAAGGGATCTTCCTGTTTCACCTATGTATGTTTGTGTACAGTTTAAACAGCTTATCATCCACTGGTATTCCATTTAAGAATTGCATTCTTCAGGTGTACTAAGCCCTCTCTGATTTTATTCTGTGGTACGAAAAGAGAAGATTTTATGTGTGTCGCCAATGTTCTCCTGATATGTTCTGATAGACCTTTGACATATGGAATCGCTACATTTTTCCACATGTTTTCTTTCCCTCTTTTGGATGTTGTTTGTGGATTGTGTCTTTTTGGACTGTTTGTCCATCACCCTATCGAATGCCCATTTCAGATAGTCACAGCTACGGAGTGCTTTCTTGATGTTTTTTCATTTCTGTTTCTTTTTTCCCTGGTGTGGATACCATGTTCTCACATCAACTAGGGTTCTGATGACACTTAGCTTATGTTCTAAAGGGTGATGATACTTAAAGTGAAGATATTGATTTGTGTGAGTCTGCTTCCTATATATGAATGTGGTTATGGTGCGTGTTTCATGTAATGTAATAGCAGTGTCTAAGAATGGTATGGAGCTGTTTTTCATGCCTTCAGGTGTGAATTTGATTCTGTTTGTGGAGTCAATGTTGTGTAAATGCAAATTTAGATCTGTGCTGTGCCTTTAGGGATCACGGCAAGAATATGATCCATGTAAGTAACTGAAGTTACAACACAGTCAGTTGAAAAGATCACTGATTGTGATTGAAACATTCAGGTAAATACTGATATTATTTTGCTTCGTGCGTAAATGAAAATTTATTTTAAACTTTACACCTCATAATGATTTCATATGGGAATTACAAATTACAGCTGGTGGTATATTGTTATTATTGATAGTGGACTGAGATGTGTTATCCATAGTGCAACTGTTTTAGCTATTGCACATGTGCAAGATCTCCATAGTGCAACTGTTTTAGTAATTGCACATGTGCAAGATCTCCATAGTGCAACTGTTTTAGCTATTGCACATGTGCAAGATCTCCATAGTGCAACTGTTTTAGCTATTGCACATGTGCAAGATCTCCATAGTGCAACTGTTTTAGCTATTGCACATGTACAAGTTCTCCATAGTGCAACTGTTTTAGCTATTGCACATGTGCAAGATCTCCATAGTGCAACTATTTTAGCTATTACACATGTACAAGTTCTCCATAGTGCAACTGTTTTAGCTATTGCACATGTACAAGATCTTCATAGTGCAATCACTTAGCTATTGCATATATCTCCATTATGCAACTATTTTAGCTAAAGCACCTTTGCAAGATCTCCATGATGCAACAGAAACAACCATCTGCAGAGATTTTAAACAGGAATTTAAACATATTTCAAACATAATTTATTTTGAATTTTATTTTTTTCCAGTGTGAAGAATTCACTGTAGGCTTATGTTTTGAAGTAAGAACAGTAACATGTCAAAACAATGTCACTGATATGGTCGTTGATGATTCCTTGTGCACTGGAACTAAACCAACTGCATCTCAACAGTGTACATGTCCAGTGATGACAACAATGTCTCCAAATATCGTGACATCTGCCACTAATGCTCCTGTAATTACCACTGTTGCTCCTGTAATTACCACTATTGCTGGCATGACCACTGCAGTTTCAGGTTTGTAATACTAAATAATAAATGTATATACAGTCGAGTTCGCCTAAGTCGAATCTAATGGGACTGGCATAAACAGTTCGAGTTATACAGATTTCGACTTGCACATTCTCGAAAAAAAATATTAACATGAACATGCCAAATCGGATTTTACGCAAAACCAAACATTTTCTTAAGTCCCAAACTCATTCCTATTCTTCTTTTTAAGAAAATACTTTCCGAATACATGAACTCCCTATTCCAAATCTCGGACAATTTGTCCAATTCAGGACCGTAACACTCACTCGAAAAACCAGACGATAGTTTAAGAGACATCGTTTAACGACAAGCATACCAGACGCTGTGAAAACGAGACTCTTAGCTATACTCGCATTGCCATGGAGATTATCTGTTGATTAACACGACACACCAGTAGACGTTTTCTTGGTTAATTATGAAGTGAAATTTACGCATTCCAATGTTTTAATAAGTGTATATTCTTGCTTTTAATCCTTAAAAACCATTTGGAATCA